TGAAGTCAGGGATAGTGTTAGTATGCAAAACAAGTCTGGTGCTCTTGCTGGAGGTTAGCCACAATTTGAAAATTGGTTCATAAGAGCTTTGAAAGCAGTATCTGTATTTTCCAGTGCCCATAGCATCGGGGACAGTGATCAGCAGACCGTGACTATTTGGGGAAATATCCTTCCTTTGTGGAATCAAGCTGCCAATTACCACAAATTCTCCATATTTGGTTACTAAGCTGAAAAATGGTAAGAAAAATACAAAATGACTGGCCGAGAGATGAATCATACTTACGATTTCATTGTAAGTGGGGTCTGTACATTTTGGAACAGATTTTGTTTTCCTCCTACGAACTTCACTGGGATAGGGGAAAAGATAAAATTCAACATGCGCACTGGGCGCAGAGCCATCTGGGAGATGCTGCAAAGGAAAGCGGTTATAAATATTAATGAGCGTTGCCATCAGAGAAAACAAATACATAACGACTAAATATCCAGACCAAAGGCAGGCTCAGGATTTATCACCGCCGCTCTGTTCCTTAGACTGTAAGAGAAAATCAAAAGAAATACATCATTGCTCAAAAAGAATCCCAAACTACAGTTTAGAAGAGTTAAACTGCCCGTCTTAAATGAAGTGTTGTGTCAGAGAACTCTATTTAAAAGTCCATTCCATATCATTTACTTTAATTTTTTTTTTTTTACAGTAAAAGCTAAATTTGCATGGTCTAGAGATTAATATTAACTGCAAGCAGAGAGAGGAATTCAGTGCCCCAGGATGCCGTACACCACTTGAAAATCAAAAAATTCAAGCTTAAACACGTAAGATGAGATGTAATATTTAATGGTATGTATATTTTATCATATCAGTTTTTCAAGCCACATTTAAATATTGATCATGCCTATGACTTCAATAGTGACAAGATTTTAAAATAATTATAACAATTTTTATTAGCAAAATGACTCTCCGTTATATTGATTAGTCCTTTTCAACTTGTGTTCTATGGAGCTCCAAAAGTTGGCTACGGAGCTGCCTGAATAGCAGTTAAATGGGTGGCTATCTGGAAACTCCCTCCACCCCGACCTCCCCTTAATCTCCTCCCCCTCAAGCTCCCCCATTCTGGCTTCAGAAATTTTCTCCTTCTTTTTCTTCTTTCCTTTAAATCTATTATGGATATTTTCATTTTTTTCATATGTCATTTGAAGAATGACTCCACTGTTTCAAAAATTGGAAACCTTCATGCTTGAAAGAAATGATTCTCTCTTTGTGATCTTGACCGAATAAAGAGTAAATGGTACTAAAACTCCAATATCTGGTTTAATAAAATGAGTAATGTTTGTAAAAATTATATTTAAAGAAGATTATTTAAATGTCAAATGAAGAATTATGTGCTTGTTTTCTCTACTACATTCTAACTATCAAATCAGTAATTTTCAACAAATATATTTTAATGCTTTTAAACATGGTGATATTCACATGGGAGATTCCATGCCATTCCCAGCCCTATTGCCTTTAATTATTTACCTACATATTGTTGTAAGACCAACTTTTCTTCACTTATAATTTACACGGTAAGAATTAGATCATTAGAGAATTTTGGCTTTTTGTTATTATTACTGCTGACAAATTCATCTGGACACACCCATATGTCGAGATGCTAAGAATGAGAACTGCTGCTTTGGATGGAGCTCCAGAACAGCCAATAGTCCTATCTGATATTCTCCCCTAGGAGTGGGAGTTCTGAAATCTATCAATGGCATTATGGAGTTTTCAATGACACAGAAATACGCTGCTATTAGTATTTGAGAGGGGCTTTGTTTTGTTTCGTTTTTGTGAGAAGAATAGGGTGGTAAAATTGTTTTTGCTCTGTGCAATTTTCTGTCTCATCTGCTGTGGGTCTTGTTGATATCTATAATCATACCCGTATAATCTAAGTTTGTGGTTAAATCATGTTTCTGGAAATGGACTTTCTGATTGAAATCCTGGACCCTCAAATTTTCGAGGTATGCAGCTTTAGGTAAGTGTGATGGTTAATTTGTGGCCTAGGTCATGGAGTGACCAGATCTCTGGTTGAACATTATGGCGGGGTATGTCTAAGAAGGTGTAATATGGATCAAGCACCACATAAGTGACTTGAAACTTCCATGTGTGCCCTAACAGAGATCCTTATCTCCTGTATCAGTAGGGCTGAGATTGCTTAAAGTCAAATGCAGAATCTCATCTTGCTCCTGGTTGAATTACAATGCAAGTTGGACTCCTAGCTTCACAAAATGTCTACTGTTAAAAGTAAAAGCATTGGTCAGGAAAGAATGGGATCCTGTTGGGATGGGATGGGTGGGAAGATCCTAGTGAAGTCTGGGACATAAAGCCACTAAATTCTGATGTGTTTTGTTTTCCAATGGAAATGGTCTTTCCTTTCCCAGTGGTATTGGCTTCTCCACTTCCACCTGCCCTCTTAGGGGATTAACCGTGCACTGCTGAGGAAATGGTAGTACCTCCTGAGGCAGATGCCACACCAGACAATGCTGATACTCCTGAGGCCCCACCCTCACCCCTCTTTACTTCTAGACCTATAACTAGACTTGCGTCCATCAGACCCTTAAAGGTGAGGTTCAGAGTGTGACCCATGAGGAAGTGTGCTACCCTGCTAAGAACTATTTGGGTTTTCTAATTTATACCACCAGGAGTCTGAGTAATGTGTACAAATGTATACTAAAGGTGTGGGATAATGGTGGAAAGAAGATAAAGTTGTATAATAATTTTTTTTTGTTATGGGCTCACTAAGTGGAGATTCTGCATTTAGTGTGGCCACTTGGGGAGTTAGAAAGGTCTCTAACAGTTTGTTGGGTTGGCTGAAACAAAAGATGGGCCACAGTGAGTGGGCTGGAAATGCTGGACCTGGCTTGGTTAAAGTAGAAGAAGGGATTTAAAGGCTTAGGAAGGGTGGAATGTTATAGTGGATTTGTTGTTTAAGACCTACTCACCCACACTGGCAATGTTCAGAGACATGTTTTTTATCAACATTGTGAAACATAAATTTAGAAGGGGAGCCCCAGTGTGCTTGAGGATCTCTGTTATTCTCTGTAGGCCAGATCTTACAGTGAGCATTGCTGAATTGGGAAACCTACATGCAATGGGAGTCTTTGGACCTCAGGTGGCAGGGGTCAAAGGCTTGGTAGACATAGTTACCAATAGACAGCAACACCAAAGCAGCAATCAGAATGGTCCGCCTCCTGCACACTTATGGCATAGACAAGCTGACTGTGGTGTTCCTAAAAGTTAAATAGATAGGAAGCCTTCTAAATTCTTACTTGATTTTTGTAAGCAAAAAATGTCTAGATACAGCGAACAATAGTCTAACCTGTATCATAAAAACAGAGAGGCACAGTTCCTCAATCATTTCCGAGACCTGAATCAGTTCACAGATCCAGAGTTCCTTGAATGAAGAGAAGGTTGGATCTTCTTGAGAAAAGACCTCTGTGTACTATGCTGCCCAAAATGTATATTGTTACTCTTTCTCCAAAGAGACCTATGGGTTTCTTACCAGGGTAACTGTGCATTGGTTTAAAGGGAATAATCAGGCCTTTTGGGAATTACTGGACACTGGCTCTGAACTGACACTGATTTCAGGAGAACCAAAATGTCATTATGGTCCACTGGTCAGAGTAGAGGCTTATAGAAGTCAGGTGGTCAGGTGGGTTTTAACTCAGACCTGCATCATAGGGGGCCTTGTGGGTTCAGACATTCTGTGGTTATTTCCTCTGTCCTGGAATGTATAACTGGAATAGATCCACCTGGCATCCTCACACTGGTTTCCTGATCTGTGCAATAAGGGTATTGTTGTGGAAATGATGAAGTAGAAGTCACCAGAACTGCCTCTACCTAGAAAAGGCAAACCAAACACAAATATCATACTCCTGGAGGGATTTCAAAGATTAGTGCAACTATCAAGGACTTGTATGATACAGGGGTGGCAAACTCCACCACATTCCTGTTCCATTTGCCAAATGGATCTTAGAGAATGATAGTAGATTACCCTAAGCTTAACCAAGTGGTAACACCAATTGCAACTGTTGTACCAGATGTGGTTTCATTGCCTGAGCCAATGAGCACATCTCCTGGTAGCTGGTATGCAGCTATTGATTTGGCAGGTACTTCTTTCTCTCAATACCTGTTAAGAGAGACCATGAGAAACAGTTTGCTTTTAGCTGGCAAGACCAGCAATACAAGTTCATTGTCTTTCACTGGGGGTACAGCAACTCTTCAGCTCTATAGATTATAATTTAGTTCACAGAGACGTGTGGATCACCTTTTCTTTCCACAAGATATGTATGTCACATTGGTCCATCACATTGATGGCATTACGCTAATTGGATCTAATGAGCAGGAAGTAGCAACTGCTCTTGAGTTATACATAAGATTTGCATGTCAGGAGAAAGGAAATACATCTGACAAAAATTTAGGGGCTTTCTCCCTCAGTGAAATGAATAGGGGTCCAGTGGTATGGGGCATGTCTGGATATCCTTTCTAAGATAAAGGATAAGTTGTTGCATCTGGCCTGTCCTACTAACCAAGAAAGAGGTATAGTGCCTGGTGGACCTGTCTAGATTTGGAGGCAGCATAATTCTCGCTTAGGTGTGTCACTCCTTTACTGAGTGACCTGAGAAGCTGCTTGTTTTGAGTGGGCCTCAGAACAAGAGAAGGTTTTGCAATAGATGTAGTTTCTGTTACAGCTGCAGTGTCACTTGGTACATACGATCCGGCAGATCCAGTGGTGCTTAAAGCGTCAGTGGCAGAAAACATGCTGTTTGGTGCCTTTGACGGGTCCCTATGGTTAACTGCAACACTGGTCCTTAGGACTTTGGAGTAGAGCTCTGCCAGCCTATACAGATAATTGTCTCCCTTTTGAGAAATAGCTCTTGGCTTGCCACTAGGCCTTAGTAGAGATTGAACACTTGACCTGGGCCATTATGTTATCATGTGCCCAGGCTGTCCATCAAGATTAGATTTTATCTCACCTACCAAGTCACAAAACGGTGTACCAACAGGTATATGCATGATCAGGCCTGAATAGGCCTTGATGACACAACAAATTACATGAAGAAGTGGGCCCAGTGCCCACAGTTCCCACTGCCTTCTCTATTTCAGCCTGCACTCGTGGTCTTATGGATCCTACAATTGGTTGACAGAGCAAGAGAAGGCTGAGGCCTAGTTTTCAGGTGGTTCTGTGCAGTATGCTGGCACCACCTGAAAGTGGACAGCTGTAGCACTGCAGCCCCTCTCTGGATCATCCCTGAAGGACAATGGTGAAGGAAAGTCCTCCCAGTGGGCACAACTTCAAGCTGTGCACCTGCTCATTCACTTTGCTTGGAAGGAGAAATGACCAGATGTGCAATTATACACTAATTCATGGACTGTGGCCA